GAGCTTATATAAGCCTGCTACTTCACTCTTGGAACTGCTCATGTACTGGACAACCCTATAAGATGGTAGTGTAAGTACACATTCAGGTATGTATCCCTAGATTGTGTCTGTGAGCAAGACAAAGCCAGTGGCTGCATAATTGCCATATGAAGTATATTGCCTTCCCAAAGAGGAATCATACACAAACAGGGGCATGTAGGGCTCAGAAAAATGCAGAAAATCTATGAGATATACAGACACATCAAAGACAAGTGTATGATTGCCTTGAGCTGCAATGGTCACCATTAAACTTTATGCAAGGGCCATAATATGGCAAAAGATGCTCAGATTACCCATTATAGTCCTTGTTACCTGTATTACAGAAGCTGCTGAGCTGTACACACTGTCTAAACCACACATATCTATCACAGTGTACATATGGAACATATTTGAGTCATACACAGGTACTTTGAATCTTCAGAGGCACATGTGCATTTTTATGTTTTGCATTTCCTGGCCTACCCAGCCACTGTCAGTAAAATTCCTGTATACTCTCTGAATGAAGGGCTATCAGATGAGCATACTATGATTTGTTACTGGCTGAGGCTACAAGTGGTCTACAATATGTGAGCGCTTACCACAGTGAGCTGCCAGGCAGACAGTCACGTGACAGTTTTACCAGTTTCCTTATTGGGGGAACTGCTAAGGTGTTTCATGGCCCTCATATCCATAACAGAGCGCTTAACCACTGCAATTGTTTGTATCTGTTGGTGCAAGTTGCATCGTCTGGGAGTCTGAAATTTCAGACTCAGATAAGTAACCCATACTAACAGTTACTTATCTCTGCTTATTGGGGTGGCTGCAAGTCACGTACATTGTGGGAACAAACTGCCATTTTGGAGGAATTGCTAAGGTGTTTCATGGTGGTCCATCATAAGAACGATACCTTCGTACCTCAGGGATTGTAACTCAATGGATTCACTCACCAGCAGCATGACATTTGGTGCACCATGTTTGGGATGGCCACCTGTGGCCCCTTCAAGGGTAGGTTACTCATAGGTACCTGCACCTACCAGGGCAAAAGGTTCTGAAATTGATGGATAGGCCCAAACTTCATTGTAACAATGGCCAGATGTTGCACTGGAATGTTAGGTGCACCCATTTGGGTGCCTCTGATGCTCTGTGCTTCCTCCCACCATTTTTGTGCATCCACCACTGCACCTCACTTCTCGAGGATGCTGCCAATCAACGGTAAGGCTCAGCGATGATGTGATTCCTCTGGCCATATTGTTGAATGAACTCCAGGTCATCGAGGATGCACTCAAAATCTATACAAAGATGTTTCCCCAAGCTAGGTCAGGTAACCACTTGTGGAAAGAGGTGTTGGACACTTCTGACTGGATGTCAGAGATTATGTCACTCAGGATTGCTGACAGTGTTGACATTGTGGATGAAAAGGGTGTCTGGAGGGCCCATGTCACCACATGCTACAGTGAAGGCATACACATCATGAACCGCTGTGCAACATATTTTGGCTACCTCATTGATGCCATGAACAGGGTCCTCAGCTTGAGCTCCATGGCATAACCCAAGGCACCTGGCAGATCATGCTTTATCAAACCCATCATGGTATGTTGCCATTGTAACATGGCTTCAATCTCACCATGCTGATTCTCTGCAGCTGTTATGACTGTGGGTCACAGTAAATTAATACTTACTATCAGAATAGTACCAAAACCCTTTCCAATTAATAGAGAATAAGAGTTGAGAATGAAGCTCTATTACAGAGGAGTAGTAATAGAATGTAGTATCTTGGAAAGTCTTTCCGAGACAAGGGAACAACTTCACACAAGAGTTATTGAAGTAAGACACTACTGATGTAAGCCTGACTCCTTGAACATTCTTTATCAACCTTACTGAACCCTTACTAGTAGCATGAAGCAATACTAAGTAAGGGAATGTTAGTTCCTAATACTCAGTGAGGCTATGAATATTAGACTAACCTAGTGCATAGCGTGGGTGTACCCATGGGTGTCTCAGAGCATACCCATACCCATACCCACATGGGTTGCATACCCATGCCATGGGTATGGGTTTTGCATGGGTATTATGAGTACCCATGGGTATGGGTAATGTTATGGGTAGTCCTATGTGCAGTTCATGCTCAATGGCTTGCAAGATATGATGACACTTATTGTGCAGAGGCCAGAATATCAATCAGGCACTGTACAGTTGGTGAATTCTCATCATAAATTGATGCTATGTGCAAGACCAAGGATGAGCACCCCTCAGACCAGTTCACTGACTGTGTGGTCAATCACAACAGTGGGAGTTTCCAGTTTTTGTCCCACATACATGCAAGAACAATAGAAAGATGAGTGGGTATGGGAGGGGTCAAAGCAAGGTTTGGTGTATCAAAGTCAAACATAGCAATACACAGGGGTGTACCTTTTTCCAAGTTGTAGACTTGTAGTGTTGTTGCATGTCATGCTCACTTGTTAAACTGCAATAGAATGGGCAAGTGTGTTGCCTGAAGTAAGAACTGAAGGGCAGGTAATACAGGATAGGCAAAGATGAACAACTGACAAAAAGGGAAAACAATGTAAACAAGGCACAAAGATCATGGAAGCAAGGTATGTATTACAACTCATAACTCTGGTGGTTACACAAGTGTGTCATAACAGTACAAATAGCTACACAGACCCACAAGAACTGAGGAATGAAACTAGCAAGGTTGTATACATCAATAGATCTTACATATTTTACCAAATATGAACAGTGAGGCAATGGGCAGAGCCTTATAACATGTGCTGTTTACATATAGCAGTATCACAGGTCAACAGTCAGCAGATAAATATACCTCAGACTCAACAACTACACAACTGAATCACAGGAAAGATGTAGCAGTGCTCCATCAATACCAGCAGTGTCTTTCACATATAACAGCCTGTGAGAAGAGAGTCATATCAGGATTATTAAGCAATATCATCACAGGATCCCCACATTTCATTACTTTTTCACCAATATAGCATCAATAAGGGGCAAGGCCTGTCAATGACTATGCCAAAAGGCAGTTTCATTGAGCTTAGCTTGCCAATTGTTAAGTGGTGCATATAGGCCCTATGTTGAGAAGGTTTGTCATCTGAGTGGTCATGTGGCCGCTGTCAATACCATTCCATGAGCACCTTGAATTTATTGAATTGACCAACAAGGCATGAACACTACCTCATAGGTATGTACTGCTGGTGCGACAAGCATAAAGGCCCATCTCAAAGTGTTTGTGACATAGCAATCATGCTGATTTCTTTTCCATCAGGATCCCTTGTCACAGGTGACCAACTAAGCATTACACAGTATTACCAGCTGTCTAACAAGGACAGCTTTAAAGTAAGTAGGATTCAGTATGGTCACATTGTTTGGTAGAGCATTCCAGCTACACCATACTGACAAACACATGGCACTGCAGTAATCATTGTGCATTGAAAAGGTTAGTTGAGCTTTCTCCTAATTCTTCATTTGAGCCACAACAGCACATACACTGCAATGCACATTAGATATTTCATTTGCTTATTTGATGGCCTCAGCAATCTGTGTATTTGATTATAGCATATCAATATTGGCAAAAGCCATGTCATGCATGGTCAATGAGTCTTGAGGGAAAAATGACTGGTGACTTTACCATACTGCCACTATTGCAAAATACTCTCAAGCAAGCTTCAGAATGGTGACACCCTAAATGCTAGCATACTATGAGAGTGACACAACACTGAATACCTGGCTAGGAATTAACATTGATTACTGCCAGTGGATAAGCACTGCAGAAGTCCATGAGTTTCATGGGTACATGGGTCAGATTTTGGCTACCCATACCCATACCCATGCATACCCATACCCATGACCCACATGGGTTACTCATACCCATGCAATGCACTAGACTAACCAGATGTTGTACAGTGCGAAGCTATGTACTACCAAGATAAGAATGACTTCAGATGTGTTCTGGATATGAGTAGATGATGGAAGATGTATTTAGGGGATGAGAACACTGTCCTTATATACATGAAGAGGTTTCTAGAATATTCTATGCCTAATGGCCTGCACATGTACAATTGCTGTGCAACAAAGCTATTCCTTCATTGCCTTGAAGTCATGGTAAACACATGTCTGCCTGATCACTGAAGTCTCAACACAGCTTTACTTCGGCAAAGTCTTGGACTTCCCTTTATTAGCTCACAAAGTGTTTACTCCTTTCAGAATACAGTCTGGTATTCTGTAAAGTCATTGTTCTCTGGAAAAGGTATACACTATCATGCTCACTTAATTCCGAGAACAATAGCTTTCAGCTAATTCCAACAATTGAGTTTGGAATCAAGGTATAAGAAGAGCACTTCTTTGGAATATCCATAACAGCAGCCCCATGATGGTGATTCCCCTGAAAGCAGAGATGAGGATGCCTTAGGAGAGGACAATGACATGGACAAGGAGGGATGCATAGAGGGTGGTCCACCTGCTGTCTGGGTGCCACCCATGGCCTTACCTGCACCCATCAAGAAGACATTGATGAGCTCTTACTATTTCTGCTCCTGAATTGTGATGTTCTGGATGAATTTCAGGAGGACACTGAGCTGGAGAATGTCATACATGCAGGTGTTGGGAGCCACAAACATCAAAGCATACAGGTACAGGACTCAAACAATGTCCAGCCCAGGCAGGATCAGAATATGTAGTTGCCAATTCAATGTGGAGCCAGCAACAAGGTTGAGATGGTCTGCACACAGCTCAATGTTGTGCGTGTGGGTGGCCTAGTGGCCCCTTCTGCAATCACATATGATGGTGCTGCACTATGGGAAGATGAGCAGATGCTGGATGGACAACCCACACACTGGTTCAGGGTTGTCCATCCAGCATCTGCTCATCTTCCCATAGTGCACACTGCCTCAAATTAATTCCCCACCACCCTTGTCTAACCAATACATTGAGGATGAAACAGAGATGGAGAAAGGGAGGCTTGCAAAGTGCCCTCAGACAAGTAATGCAAGCAGAAGCTCGTCAACTCCAACCTCTCCTGACCACAAGAAGATCCAACTGACTGAACCAGTGCTCTTGTTCCCAACACAACAGAAGTTGCTCTGGTGCATGTTACCAATGGTGAGCAATTCTGTTTGTGTCAAGAAAAAAAGGGGGGGTATTGCTGTTAGCCACCAATATGATTCACATCTGCACCTACAGCACAGTAGCCATGCACCTTATCAATGACTATGTTCTCATCTACCTTCCAATTGTGGAGCCATGTGAGTATTGAGTCTACTGCCTCATTGATCATTGAGCAGGTGAGATCAGGATCAGCATTGAGAAACACAGTTGCACTGACATCCCATTTTATCTTGTTGACAAACCAAGCCAGCTTGCCATCTGCACCAGGCATGACTCTGATGTTGACATGGGTGGACTGCTATTCATGGTCAGATGTTCAGAGTCTACCTTGACCCAATTCCTGTTCTTGCCTCCATGGCCATTGGCCCATTACGGAAGGGTGTCCATATAACTGTCCATGTATGTGAGACGGTTGAGATTGAAAGAATGAACTCTCACCCCACCTCACCCAAAATGATGTCCTTGAACAGCCCTGTCATTAGTCAGCCAAAACAAAGAAGTGCTGTACTTTCATGTGCAGAATGCAGACAGTTGTACTGTTCCAACAAGGTCTCTTCCATCCTGAGCAGGAGTTTCTTGCTGTCTATGACATGCTGGAGGGTCATCAGGACAAAATCTTGCAGTGCTGCAGTGGGCTGGGCATGTGTGCCTCAATCATGGGAAAAGCAGTCCTTGTTTGCGTAGTTGTTGCCACCATTGCACAGTTGGATTCCAAGTGTCAGAAGACAGCCACATGAGCAAGAAAACAGGTGGTGAGCAAGGATGGTGATGTACTGTGTTTCATCAGGCAGCAACCAATTTGTGAGTGCGCAGTAATGCCAACATGAGTCCAGGGGAGAAATTGTATGCACAGTTATGATCCCTGAGGTATGAAGGAATCATTCTTATGACTGGAGAGAATGTAACACTTAGCATGGAGCCCAATGTGGCAGGTTTTTCCCACAGTGCATGTGACTGTTTGAGCACCAGATAACCAAAGATAAGTAACACTTACTATGCCATCATTAGCTGAGTTTCAAATTTCAGACTCCCAGACAACACTCCTTGCACCAACACACCCAAACAAATGCTGTGGCTGACAATTCCCCATGGACTTGGGGCTCCTGTAACGTCTAGCTTGGAGCCCAATATGGAAAGTGGTGAACATGGCATGTGACCTCACCAGCAGCACTGGGCTCCAATATAATCAATTGCTTTTTGCAACAGTAAGCACCCACAAATGGGTATGGCAAGCATATAGTCAACTTGTAGCCCTTGTTTCATAGAGTCTACAGTAATTTTGTTGGGTCCCAATAGTGGCTAGTTAGGCCAGAAAATGCACAATACAAAAAAAAACACAAGAGACTTTGCGGAATTTGAACTGCTCATTTTAGATATGGAGCACACAATCCACACAGTATAGCCATGTGTCTCAGACATCATGAAACTGCTTTATGGTGCCATAAAAGAGGAGAGAATGGGCAAGACTGGCTGATTTCATGCTTGTACATGGTATTATAGCTTACCTTCCATATATGGTAACATATTGTAAACATCACACACTTCATCAACATGCCATAGTACTCTATGAATATCTTCTGATTTATCTGCAATTTATGAACCACCACATTCACTTTACTTGCTGGGGAGAGGGCCATGGCTGGCAGTACAATCCCATTGGTTTAGATACATGAGAAAGTTTTTGCAATTTAGTAAGTAAGCTGCCATGTATTGTGCATCTTGTATAAATTGCTATATACATAGGACACTGTCTGTCGTGGTGAAGAACACAGACTTACATTAAGACTTGCACATGGAATCATTATTGCCTTTGCTGGGTATTCCAGTAATGCCTACTCTCAATGGTAATGGTCTCCATTCATAAGTCCCATGAACACAAAAGTTTTCTACCTTCAGAAATACTTGTGAGATAATTTTGAGTCTCATTTGCTAGCTGCGACTTTCTTTTTTTGTCTACATACACATGATATATTACTATATTTAGATCAGCCATATTGCTCTCATAAAACCATACTCTCTAAATATTGAGATTCTCCACTGTTTATTTGACATGGCAGGTACCATTCAGGATTAAATGCCAAATTGGGTACTCCACCAGATATTACTACGTGTGTATTAATTAGTACCTGCTTCTTAGACCCTTCCATGATATATCCAATGCTGTTCAAATGGCACAATTGTTCACTCTTGTGGCTATATGGGGTGGCTGACCTTCCAGAAATGGCAATTTTCATTCACCTGCTCAATCTGGGCTCAGAAAATGCAGATAAAACCAGGGAATACTATGTGAGATTGGATTCATCCATGATGCCTGCTGTATGTAGATAATTGATGCTTTATAGAGCCCTCAGAGTCTACAACTAGTATGGCTTGCCCACATATTCAAAATCGAGAAAACAGAGAACTACACATACCTCTGTAGACAATTACAAAGTGACTCCACATATGAATAGGTTGTTGTATCTGAAACACATTGCATATGACCTGTGTAGATCATGTGCATAGGCTGAGTGTCTGGAATGTGCACAAAACTGCTTTTAATGGGGCAATATTGTCATAACATGCATGTGTTGATGTCCCAGCACTGAATGAACATATGGGACAATTCTCTCCACTTGTTAATATGCTCAGGCATGTGCCACAGAAATTATGGGATATTATCCGATTTTACTGGGCTTTTTGGGGCCCAAAACAAGTAAGTTTTGCTGCAGAAACAGTGTACACTGACATTGCCTACTAAGCCGCACCCTAGCAGGTTTCAGATGTCAGGGAATCTAAGGCCAGTCTGTAGGCTTGAAAAGAGTCACTTACAAGGTGAACAGGAGTGCACTCATGTGCACAAAGGCATATGTGTATGTTCTTTTGTTTTGTGAATTGTGCCATAAGCACTCAAGTTAATGGGCAAGTCACAGCAACTATACAGTCTATGACATTGTAACTATAACTGGGATTAATTTGGGTATTTATTGTATTTTTAGCGCCACAGCACAGCAGATACAGGGGCTTGAGAGCCTTCAGCCAAATACAGTAAGAGCAGTCAGTAGTGCATTGCATGGGTATGGATAACCCATGTGGGTCATGGGTATGGGTATGCATGGGTATGGGTATGGGTAGCCAAAATCTGACCCATGTACCCATGCAACCCATGGACTTCTGTAGTAATAATCCAGTGGTGAAATCTGGCAACTGTTGATTAGATAGTCTGTGCTGTGTTTCTCTCACAGTTCAACAGCTATATGGTGATCCTGAAGTTGCTTCAAAGTACTTTGCAATAGCAGTGTGGTAAAGTTGACAAATGTTCCCTTTCAGTAATGTAGTACTTTAGACAGCCTTCAAAATACAGTTGGTACTTACTAGACAAGGATTCTACAATGTTCAACTCTTGCCAGTGATTGTGAGGATGATTCAGCAAGGCCAACCTACAGGGATATAAGGAGGGTCAACTTGCTCATGGACAACACACTTGCTCCACAAAACATCTATCTTGACCCACAACTAATAATTACAGTACTCTGTACATTGTAGTTAGTCCAATACACTGTTATTTCTAACCTAATTCTCTCCTTGTCCACCACCTGACCCAAGCAATACCCTGAGTGACTGAAACCAAATTTGTACAAGACCTGCCTATGCCACATCCTGTCTTCTTATAAGTAACCAGAAGACAGATCATTTATTGCTATGCTCCAACCAATGATGCACAGATTACTGAGGTTGTCATATTGACAACAACAAGTGCATCATGGTGTATGCTCAATTCAATGCAGTGCCATGTGTTTGTTAGCCTAGTGCGGCTGAGAAACTATACTGGCACAAAATATGACTTGCTGGGAAGTGGGCCATGCATGGCAATACGATCCCAGTTGTATTGTCTATGTATTTTGTCTACTGGCTCATAAAATTATTGCTTGAATCTCACTTATCAAATGCATTGATATATCCTAGTCTGTGACACTAACTTCCATGCTTTATCAAGTAGTTGTCAAACTGTGACAATAACAATAACCTTGTGCAGGCCATATTGAAATCATCAAGAAGTATTATAGTAGTAACAGAGGTGCTTCCATTATTATTGCTCAGTTCATTCCTCATTGCAGTACCACAAGACGCAGAGCATTGAATCCCAAATGTGCATATCTCTTCATCAGAAATGTATTGCTATACAGCCATTATCCAATGATATGTGTAGCTGCAGACTTGTTCTTGCCCAACTGATCCTTGAGCTGCCCTGTCACCATAATGCACTGTCTCAAAACACTGAACAATAATATTACATTACTAGTGGGAGATTGTTGTATCATGGAATCTGTCTAGGGACTGTTAGTCACTCAATAATGACAATGATCACAAACAATTGTATCATTTGAACTGAGTAAGTCATACTTCCCTACAAATTGATACTACATTGGCCTAGACCTCCCAATGTTAGAATCTGTTCATGTCAACCATGCTGATTTTGGTACACTCATGATATCTCTTCATGAATTGTGGCTCATGCTGTGGAGAAACAGTAAGTCACATATTCTAGATATAATGGAATGCTCATCTGCATTCCTCTCCTCATCCCTTATCCTGACATCACTCCATGTTACTGTCAATCCAGGTATATATAACAAGTTACTAACAGAAATCTGCTAAATGCATTAGGTAGGCACCTACTGTTCAAAAGATGCCTCACAATTTACACTAAGGAGTCCACATTGCTACCAAATGAGGGCATCCACAGATTATCAAAGCTTTCTTACTGCCAAAATTCCCTAATTCATGACCTGAGGGATCTGTCACAGGAAGCTATGAATATTCAATAGAGAGGAAGAACCTGGAAACAAGAATTTTATCATCAACATCACTATTTTTTCTTCCATTGTAGCAGGCAATCTGCAGATATCTTGCACCTCTTCAAATGAGTTAGCTGTAGTCCCATATCAAAGTATGGTAAGTGCTGCCAGAGCTTTGGGTGAGCACAATGACCACTTATACGTGACTCATCAATACTTCACTGACTTTCTGGGGTGTTTGGACTTTTTCTGAGCCTATACAAGGAGGTCATGTGGCCTAGAATGAATATCCTGCACATGTTCATGATTTGTTCCATGCATAGCATAAGGAACTATGAAGGCTAGGGAAATTATGAGAGGGTCTGTGAAGCAGGAGCTATCTTTATAACTACTTATGGCAGGTGCCCCCCAATTGGAAATCACACACTGGGCAATGCTTTGTGGCCTAGTAAATGCTGTATAAATGATGGAGTAGAGTGCATGGCTGCATCAGTTCAAGCAACTGGCATATGGAGAATCATTAAACAGCATACATGCATTATATATGTACTGGGTCCCATTCTTGGTATGCTATTGTGAGACATTAAGAGTTGCTGATCATGAACCACAGTGCTATATGGGTATATCAGTGTTTATGTGACCCAATTTGCATCTTTCCATAGCTATAGGCATTTGTAATCTTCTCTATCATTGTGTTGATCAGCTGTCTGTCTGTATCAAGAACACTTGGAACAGTATACATTCCTACACTCATTGGGAAAGGGTACTACATAAAGCAGTTGTTGGGGAAAATAGTAGAACTACTGTGTTGTGATTGTGAATATATTTCAGACATATTGGGAGCACATGGCTATGTCTAGTGATATTGTTAAATGTACATACTCACCAAGCCACATATGCACTGGATACCTCAATATCACACTGTCTGAATCCTAAAACACCAAACATTGTGCTCTAATTTCAGGCAAATCACTCCAAGATATCATAGAGTCACTACAGGTAACACCCAATGTGGTAATGTCACTACTGTAGCTTGAAAGCTGACTGGCAGCCCTGTGGGACCTGTAATTGATACACTGTTGACCTTTTATGACTTTGAAGTACTTTAAGATAGCTGCACCAAGGCCTTCCAATTTATTGGGAATTTATACAATTTCTCTGGGCCCAAAACAGTAGGTTTTGTCCTCAGAATGAATATTCTGCGCACTTTTGACCGCTTTTTCGCAGTCACATGATCAATGACGTGCGGTCTCAGCACTCACAGCAATAAAACACCACTGCGAGTGCTGCGACCCCACGTCATTGATCATGTGACTGGCTAGACCCAGTGGCCGTTGTGCCTTTTCTGGTGCAACAGAGACATGTATACAAAGATAGTGATGTCTAGCCACTGTTAACCAGGGAAATGTACATTTCAAGCAAGTTGTGGGAGGGCTTTTGCACAAGAAGTATCACAAAAGCTCACATTGCCCTAAATGGTGAGTAACCTTCTAAATTCAGTAATTCTCCATAAAGTGAATGTCTAGTGGTTCATAAATTGCAGATAAACCATAAGATATTCATAGAGTACTATGGCATGTTGATGAGGCCTGTGATGTTTACATTATGTTACCATATATGGAAGGTAAGCTATAATATTATGTACAAGCATCAAATTAGCCAACCTTGCCCATTCGGAGCTCTGTCATGGCACCATAAAGCATTTTCATGATGTCTGACACACATGGCTATACTGTACAGGTCATGTGCTCTATATCTAGGGTAAAAATGAGCACTTTGAATTCTGCAAAGTCTCTTGTGTTTTCTTTTGTATTGTGCATTTTCTGGCCTAACTAGCCACTATTGGGACCCAACAAAATTACTGTAGACTCTATGAAACAAGGGCTACAAGTTGACTATATGCTTGCCATACCCATTTGTGGGTGCTTACTGTTGCAAAAAGCAATTGATTATATTGGAGCCCAGTGCTGCTGGTGAGGTCACATGCCATGTTCACCACTTTCCATATTGGGCTCCAAGCTAGACGTTACAGGAGCCCCAAGTCCATGGGGAATTGTCAGCCACAGCATTTGTTTGGGTGTGTTGGTGCAAGGAGTGTTGTCTGGGAGTCTGAAATTTGAAACTCAGCTAATGATGGCATAGTAAGTGTTACTTATCTTTGGTTATCTGGTGCTCAAACAGTCACATGCACTGTGGGAAAAACCTGCCACATTGGGCTCCATGCTAAGTGTTACATTCTCTCCAGTCATAAGAACAATTCCTTCGTACCTCAGGGATCGTAATTCCACACGCAATGATACCACTAATACAAAAGAAACCTAGCACAAGCCACCTAAGCCCTGACATCACTTCCCTGATGGTGGGACTGCTGGGAGGCACTGAGTACACCACAGTTGTGCAAGTCATCCATGTAGACCCTGTCTTCTTTGGGGAGCTCAGTATGCTCAATGAGAGGCATTGCAGCAGCCTCTTGAGGCATGGGGAGCCCATCCCAGTGAGGAGTACATGTCTCTCAAGCATCCAACCACCATACACCTCTGGCTTAAATTCAGCCTGTTTTCAGTTGATCTATCACACTCTGACTTTACCATACTTATCATGCCTGTCCAATGTGTCATCAAAAAGTCGGGAGTCTGTTCAGTTGCTTGCAATATGCTACTAGTGCTCCCCGCCATCATGATCACCCTCAATGGCATAGCAGTAGATCTCAACTGGACCCACTGGTTGGACATGGAAAACATTTTGGGTGAACAACGAGTCTCTATAGCGATGTCGAGGCTATCTTAGAACGTGTGGTGGATCAGGCCCAACGGTCGGCCAGACATACATCAACTTACTGAGAAGTAAGTACAGCGGTCAGTTCATGATGCCCTTGAGTACTACTTATGGAGGCATTATGTGAATGTTCCACAGAGAACTTTGCTACTACAAGCTCTTCTGCTACCTCGAGAAGCAATACCTGAGCTGGTGGAGCGCCTGGAAGCTGCTGCTGACAATTTGTCCTCGTTGGTTAAACCGGTGAGTAGTAAAGCTGCATTCTATGTAATTGATCAATTGGTCAAGGCTGAATGTTGAACATGCATCAAGCTCAAACAGGGCATTGACGGCACCTGCACATCTGACACTTTGTCACTGAAGCGGGTGGTAATTGATTGGATAACCCCTGCTGGCGAGGCTTTGACCCCACCACTCTCAAAAACTACCAACAAAGGCAGGGGATTTGATCATGTTATAACTGGACAGCTGCCCTGTCCATGTGAGCTGGATTGGGAAGAGGATAAGTGAGTGCAATTTGCATGGAAAGGAGGCTGTTGTCTCAAAACTTTATGTTTCCAGCATGAGAGGCTTACTGGCCCATTTTTCTGTACAAGGACTTGCAATATGATGACCAGGACCCATTTGGGGGCATTCTCAACAATTCACTTTTGTTAACGGTAAAGGCGAGCCTATGCAGTATTTACCTCAAGAAGCTGATCCTGCTATCACTAAGGCATACAAAGCATGTTTTTATCTTGCTGAGTTCTGTGGCAGGGGATACGAGCCACCACTCAACCACGGGAAATGCAGCTTGGCATGCGATGTCTTCTGTGACTCCGGCGTCCATCACCTACATAGTGACACAGGTGAGATGCTTCGTCTGATATCTGGGAACAATAATGTTGATCAATTGTGTTGACTGTCACCTTTTAGATAAGGTTTGTTCTGAGTTCAACCTATTGGGTATTCTGGTACTGGAGCTTCACCATACTGTAGGCCTATACAGATGTTCTGAGCAGTGATCCCCATGTCACGGAGAATCTCATCACATTCTACATCCATTGCACCACATTATGTAATATTTCTATAATTTATGCACTCCAAGTTCAGCCACAATTAGATATACATTGAAAAGGACTACTGGAAATTCACAGGATATTCACAGGACAACAGGAACCCTGGGTCCCCATGGTTCTGTGTGCTCCAAAAATTGTGTCATCTATGGTAGAAGATATGTGGAACATATGGGCGACTTACCTGCCCAATGTCAGGTGCTATTTGAATAAGAGTACTTGGGCACCACAACCCAGTATATTCAGATATTCCCCTACAGCCTCTGAGATCAGTAGTCCCCAAAGGTCTGTGCCATGGCAAATATGTGCTCTATATGGTACATCATATGTATAAAGTATGGGACCATCACATCTCCAATATCAAGTGCTATCTGAATAAGAGTCCTTGGGCCCAGCTGTAATGGGACGTTACCGTATGGACGTGTGTAATCCCGTTATGGACTTATTGGATTGATATGCATGTATGTATATACGTTTGCGTGTGTTTGGCGTCGTACCTTTATAGATCGTCGCCCGGCGAGTTGAAGGACAAGTCCTTTAACTCGTCGTCCTCCGGATACATCGCACTTCTCAATGGAGATTGGTGCACTGTATCTGCGGGATTGAGTAAGGCAACGTTACACTTTTTTACAGTCCTTCGATAACTCGAACTTCCACTCGGAAGGGCGCTCTATCAGGGAACTGCACGCTACGTAACAACCCCCATCACAACTTTCATCATTACAAAATATAAATCGCAACAACCGCGTGATAGTCGCGGACACTTTCTACCAAGAAAGAAAATGGCGGACCAAGCACCTGAGTCCCCCTCTCCGAAAGGAGCTAACTTGCCCGTGGATCCACCCCAATTGGGTGGATTACCGAAGCGAGATGAACAACCTTACACGTCAAGAGTATCGCCGAGAGGAGCTCGCGTGTTTAGTGATGAACGATTGGTTGCGTCACCAGACAGCGGAGCCAGACCTCATTCAGCGAGGATATCTCCGGCACGTCCGGAAGGAAGCGGACGTGTCCGAACGCCTGAGGATAAGAAGTCGAGCAGCGCCAGTAAATCTGCACGCTCGACGTCAGCCAAACCGAAGGGTTCGCCTGGGTCCCATCGCGGGACTCAGTTGGGCGCATCGGCGATGATCCTGGTGATTCGAGGCCACGCTAAGAGACTCGGAGCAGCCAACACGGAGGCTATCGAGGCTCTTCAGCGTGAATCCGAGGCCAAGTTCATCCAGCTAAGAAGGGATCTCAACGCGGGAGTTGAAGATTTCATGAACGAAATGGTCAACTACGTCGAGGCAAGAATCCCGAACAAGCCAGGAGGAGAATCGGGAACGGAGGCCGACAACGAGACAGACGAACCAAGTTCGTCGCCTCGGAAGTTGAGTCCGCCCATGAGCAAAGGCAAGGAGCGTGAAAGGCCGGAACAAGCAGAAAGCATGTTCAGCGGATGGGGGAAGGCTAGGCCTACGACCGTTGAAACTGAAGACGAGTCGTTGAATGATATACCGACGCAGCGACCGCCGCCAAGGACGCCCCCAGCGGCGACCTCGACACCGGCACGGCCGGATATCAACGCGGATCCCAACGTGAGTTTCGCAGCAGCAAACTTGGTCCTCCCCAAGGGAAAGAACGAGTCGGACGCGGAATTCGCGAGGCGAATGGCAGCCGCGGAACGGCTAGCCAGTACCCTAGGAGGCACTGCCCAAGCAGCACCCCCAACCCCGGGTCCCGTACCAACAGAACCACGGAAACCGAGACCTGGTGAACCGGGATTCACTAGGTCTCCGTACCGTACATCGGGGCCGGGGTACGAGTTCTTCCAGACGAAGAACGGACCTGTACCATCAAAGGATCCGCCCCCTCACATGCCGGGTCCCGCACCTCCACCGAGAACCGGCGGCGGTGCAACAAGGACCGAGAACGACGGTTATAGGTACACAGCAAGTGGGGTACCTATACCGCCAGTTCCCCAGAAACCGAATGTTGTGTTCGAACCAGGAGTTGGAGGCTCAAGCGCTTCTAACTCCGGGAACGACCCAACCAAGGCGAAAGAAGGCGGGGTTGGCTATGGGAGATTCCAGGCGTACTCATACATGGGTACGAGCCGGGACCCTCAGAGCGTAAGCACCGCCCCAGCACGCACGCGAACCGCGTTAGACCCCTTGGCAAGGTTGAGGGAGAAGTGCTGGAACATGATCCAGACCATGGTAGGGGATCCACCGATGGATGACCCTCCCATGTACCTGCGATCCGTTAAGCTTCAAACCCCTGCGGCCTGGAGCGGCGAAGACGATCTGTACAAGTTCGAAGAGTGGCTCTACAAGCTCCTCTCGTACTTCCAGACGCTCCGCGTAACAGGACCGCGGATGGACGCGGATAGGCTCCGCATGCTAGGCGACTCACTTACTGGGGAGCCCAGTATGTGGTACATCCATAGCATAAACTATACGAAACCGAACCAGCCCGCCTGGATGTTCGCCGATGTAATAATGATACTACATGAGCGGTACATCTGACGGGATGGTGAGATCGAGGCGGCCGAAGCATTCTATGGCGCGAAATACACCCAGAAGGGCGGTGCCATAGACTTGATCGACCGGTTGACTCGGTATGGCGAACGTATGGCTGAGAAGCCAAGCCCGTACATGTGGAAAGGCAAATTTATGTCTGCCCTTCCCCGCGACGTCGAGAACCACCTCAGGAACACTTGCATGCTCACACCGGAGAGGTCTGAGCTGCAGGAGATCATTGAGAAGACCAATGAGTACGAGCACGCCCAGCAATCTCAGAAAGCGGGATCGGCGCTGTGGCTGCAACGTATGGTAACTACCGCCAAGGATGGTAGTAGTGCCAGTACGAAGGCAGCAACGCCTGCCACCACCAGTAACAAGAATACCGGCGGTGGTCAGTCGTTGAACAAGGGGAAGAAACCCTTTGTACCACGATTCAAGACGGCACACAGATGGACGGCGCGAACTTCAGGTCTGGGAACCAGATGGACGGATCGGCCAGCAGGTTCCAGAAGACTCCTGCTCCAACCGGCAAGACGACCACCGATGGTCGTCCGTACGGGGTTACAGCAAGACGTACCCAAAGAAGGTCCAGATGCATGCCGGACGCGTCGCTGAAGAAAGCGATGCGGACGCCATGCATCAGACTGACCAGCCGGTCAAAGAGACGTCGGAACGGGAAGAAGTCAACGCAGTGGACACTGAGGATGCTAGGACAGGTATCGAAACCGACCAGCACCCTCAGTCCAACTACGGAGACTACGCATACGATGACCCAGGAGAAAACTCTCCTGTGGACGATTGTAGCGAAGATGACGAAGAGGGACACACCGTCCACATGGGTTCAATGTGGATGGGTGCGATGCGGGTTGAGCGACAACAGTCGACCCAACAGCGCCATGAACAGCTGGCCCACCAGTCGTACGATGCCGCAATGACCGACATCGTGCGCTCGTGTGCCATGCAAGTCATGCCCTCGGCGAGGTCGATGAAGGCAGCCTGGCTATATGACTCGAAGATTCGACGAATGTCGGATCCGAAAGACCAGCCCAAGCGCGCCCCCGACTCGCAGCGAACACTATGCGCGGAAGTCGACGTCAATGGCGTGAAGGCGTACACTCTGTTTGACACAGGGTGCACGACCGACACTATATCACCGGAATTGGCGTACCTGTCCAAGGCTGACAGGGTTGATCTCAAGGAGCAGATCAACCTGCAGCTTGGAACGAAGGGCAGTCGCACCACCATAAACTATGGTGCGCTGCTGAAGATTACGGTTGGCCCCGTCAACAACGTCAACTACGTCGATGTCGTTGACATCGACCGGTATGATATGGTGCTAGGCACCACGTTCTGCAATGCGCATAACGTGGTCCTAGACTTTCGTACGCGGAAGATCTGGATTGACGGCGTAGACATCCCTGCCTACACCGCCGTCCAGGAGGCTGAGGTGTGGGAACACCGCCGAAACAATCGTCAAGACAGGGTAGCGGCGCATTTACGTGCTGCTACCACCTCAAGACAATAAGGCAGCGTAGCGAGATCCACCGCTGCGCAGCCCCCCTGTCTCGCTATGCGGAAGAAGGAAACAAGGTCTTGAGGGGGGAAGGGAGCGACCCAAAAGTCGCTTCTATTGTGGATAGAACAACGAAGAAGTTGGTACCACCTACGGCGCCGCAGGTGGTACACAACCCAACATTGAAGGCTTCAGACTGACCGCCACCACATCTAACAGTAGAAGTGGTGACGCCTCGGCGGAAGGTGCCTGTAAACAGAGGAAATCAGTTTACAGCGAAACTGCCACGACTGAGCGAGGACAATCCACCGATGCCTCACTCATCGCAGCAGCCCAAGCGAGACAAACTCGGTCGATTGGATCCGTATGGAACCAACGACGAGGTTGACAGAGCTGTGTGTAACTTCCTTGTCGACGAGGAGATACGCCAGTCCCTGAATGAAGATCCACAACTCAACGCACTGCGCGAGGAGTGGTTGAAGAAGTGCGAGGATATAATGAAGCCTCCACCTCCCGGATTGCCGCCATTCCGGGAGGTGAACCATTATATTCCGCTTATCGACCAGGACAAGCAGTACAAGTACCGCTTGCCCAAGTGCCCGGATGCTATGAAACCACAGCTACTCGACAAGATTGAGCGGTATTCAGATGCAGGATGGTGGGAACCAGTATCAATGTCGCAGGCCGCTCCGCTACTTTGCATTGCAAAGAAGTCGGGCAAACTGCGTACTGTCGTTGACGCAAGACAGCGTAATGACAATACCCGAAAGGACGTGACACCGTTTCCCGACCAGGACCAGATCAGAATGGACGTGGCTCGAGCGAAGTACAGATCGAAAATCGACCTGTCCGACGCATATGAGCAGATCCGTATCGTTGCAGAAGACGTCTGGAAGACGGCGT